GGGCAACGGCCGCCACCACCCACTGCCGGCCGCCGTAGCCAGGGTCCGCGCTGCTCGGGAGCTGCTGACTGGTCTGCAATGATCGCGCGCGCCCATTTGTAGTCCGCGACCTACAGGAGGCGGAACTTGGGCCGCAGCGCGAAGCACCCTGGGAGTCGCAGTCGCGGAGCTGCCTGGGCGGTTCTGACCCGGGCTTGGTCCCTCGTCCCTTCGGAAAAGTCGGAAACAACCCAGTTCGGACGAGCAGTCCAAGGACTGCGCCGGCGCCTGGCTCCCGAGCAGCTGGGCACTTTCCTCGACCTCTCGCTCGGCCCCTTGTCCCACTTCTTTAAACGCAGGATTTCGTCACACCTCGGCCCAGCGAACCCTTTAGGGTGTGGGTAAACCATGAACGGCTTCGAACACTACCGTCCTGTCCGTAAACCCGGCGGGAACTACCCTTGCCTCCCACACACACACACCCCTGCGCGCGCTGTCGTGCCTGAGAGCCCTCCCTGCCTCACTGCACTTTGAACTGAAGGAATTCACGGGGGACGTCCCACAAAAACCAGATCGGGAGCAAGCGGGGGGGTGGGGTGGGGGCAACGTTAGGGCATGCCTGTGCAATTGCCTAAGTGAAGCAGCTGATCAGCCACGGTGGCTTCTCAGTATGCCCACTTAGCCGGGTATGCATCCTGCAATTATGAAATACCTGCCTGATTTCTCTGGAAACACGTTAAGCAGCAAAAGTAGAAGGGCCTCTTGAACAAACATCTTAGGTCTGGGCTTCCCACCGACCTCACCCTGCTTCTGCCACTTTTGGCCTGTGACCTGTTCTTGTTGAACAGGTCATTTTTAGCTAATTATACCAGACATCCCAGGTATCTGTGTATCCTGCAGAGGGCCACCCTACCAGCCAGAAAGTCCCTCATGCTTGAACTTTTTTGATCAGGACCATTTCCTTCTCGTTTCCTACCCAGTCTCCCAGAACATACCTGTTCAACCCAGTCTCTGGCAATGGGATATAGCTGGGCCTGGGACAGGCAGGGGTAGTCATTTTTTAAGATGAACCCCAAAAAGGCCAGAAAAGGGCCAGGGATTTAGCTCAGTGGCGCTGCACCTTCCTTGGAAGCACAAGGTCCTTCATTTGATCCTGGGTACTGGGGGGGAAAAAAAAGCCAGAAAGAATGTCTCTTTTGGAGCCTGGTGTGTAGGGGTGAAGCATAGGAACTCTACTCCCTCCCTATTCCCCTTTCAGGCAGTGAATGCATGGCCTCCCTATTACCCTGTGTCCCCAGCTAGTGTACTCTGGCAGTACCACACTCCAATACAGAACCAAAAACTAGAGAGCCAGCCCTCTCCAGGATAATACTCAGAGGAGGTTGACAGGTTAGCCTGCTAGTAGGCCCAAAAAGGCACAGCTCACCAGCCCATGAGTGAATGGTTGAGCTGGAGAGGTGGTTATCTTGACTATGCCTGGCTCAAAGCATTTAGGCAGAAAATGATCTTGATAGGAAGGTGACCAGAAGGTGGACTACAGCCACCTGGCAGGAGAGTCTGGCCAACTGAGGAAGGCTGAAGCCCGTGTTGAGGCATGAGGCAGAGGATTCCCTGGCATGAACTCCAAGACCCCAAAATCCAAAGAAAGGTACAGCCCAAGGTACCAAGGAGAGGAGAAAGGTCAGGGGAGGTAAAGTTGGTTAAAGACAAAGGTGTGTGGCTGGGTTATCAAGGAAATCATGGTGGAGATATCCATGATGGGGTGTCAGTAAATGAATTGAGGTAGGGAGCCTTACAGGCCTGGTGGGACAAAGGACCAGGAGGGGACTGAGGTTTAGAAAGGGCCTGAGGCTGACCCTAAGGCCTTGGGGCTATGAGCCGGCACTGCTGTAGGGAGAGTTCACAGTACTAGTGTTCAGTGTCCTGTACCACCCATTCTCTGCAATGGATAGTTAGTTGTTCCTGTGGTTGACTGGAATAGGGAGGTGTACTCATACCAGGCCTTGGGGAGAATGCTCCCATCTTCCAGTTGTACCACCCTCAGAATCCCAGAAAAGGCATACATGGCCATTCAACACACTAACACTGTGGAGTCCTTTGGCAAAGAATGGACAGCTAGCAGCTTCCTTACCTGTCATTGCCATCTGCTAGGATATACATTAGGTATAGTGTGAATGGAGGACTTGGGCAAGGCTGTGTCAAAGTCACCTGTGGGTTTCTCATCCTTAGACATGCTGTTTATCTCTTCCCCAATACTCAGATTCCTCATCTGCAAATAGGGAAATAATGTCCCCTCAGCCCAGACACAGAGAGGATCTCTCTGTAGGTCTTGGCCACTGACCCCTCCTAATACCAGGTACAACTATTTCTGCCATTGTTATTGCTGGTGGAGCTCTCCAGAAGGGGACAGTCATCACCCTTTTAGAGCCCCCTGAATTAGCAGGCCCAGAGGCCATGACCTTCATAGGGTAGACACTGGATGGAGTTCGGATGGATCTGGTCCCTGCCCCTGCCAGAGTATCGGCAGCTATGCTGGCCCTGGCCTAGGGCTGACCTGATTTGATCACCTATGTACAGTCTTTGGGCAAACACTCAATTCATGCCTGCTTACCTAGTTGCCAGGGATTATAGCTGAGCAAGGGGTTTAGGCCCCTATGGTCTCCTTACCCGGTACAACCTTGCCCTCCATGTTGTCAACTCAGCTCCCCCTATCTAGACCCTGAGGGTCATGGGTGACTTTAGAAGGTTCTCTGCCTCAGGCATCTCCTCCCTGGAACTAGCCCAGCACAGCTGTCCATGGAGGCATCCACTCTTCAGCAATACAGAAGTACACACCCAGAGTTTGAGGGTCAGGATGAAGGTAGCAGGCCACAGGGTGACTTGACCTCAAAACCTCTGCCAGTCCCCATTTCTTCCAACAGCACAGCAGAAGGCTTGCAAAGGATGAAGGTTCCAGCACTGTTGATGTAGCTGTCTGCAAGTCGGGGGGGGGGGCTCCTATAGGGAAAATAGAAAAGAATGGATATGGAGGCCTCTCAGGTCAGAGGGCTATAGCCCTTCCTATACATATTCTGCCCATTCTAGGTCAGCGTGGACTGAGTCTGACATTGGGCAAGAGCCCTTTAGTGCCCTCAATTCCTGGTACAGCACAGATATACCTGACACAGGGGAAGTGCCAAATATTCTGCCTTCAGACAGTTGTCTTGTGGCTCAGCCAGCCAAGCCTGCCCTATCGAGAGGAAAAGTCTGGGCCACAGCTTGATCTATGACTTCCAGCACTGGGCCTGCAGAACCAGGAAGCCACCCCAGCAGTTCCCAGCTAGAACACATCAGCCAACACTCCAAATTCTATCAAGAGTGGCATTTATTCTCCTTATGGAGGTGCGGCGCTCCGGGGAGCTGGTGCTATTGTGCTTAGGAAGGAGGTCTGTCGTCCGTCCGTCCGTCTGTCCGGCCGGCCCGGCCCCAAACGGGGGCGGAAGAAGGGCTCGGCCGAGTAAAAATCCCGGCCTGTTCCGGGCGGGTGGGGGCGGGGCGGGCCGGTGGCCACAGCCCCCACCCGAGGGCCCCGCACCTCGGGCCCTACTTGTAGAATCAGTACAAAATAGGTGCTACCTAAACGTTCCTTCTACCTGAATTCACTAAGTCGGTTATTGTGCTGCTTAGTTATGGGGGCAGGAGGGGGCCCATGGCTTTCCACGGCGGCAGGGTGTGGGGGAAGCAGGAGAGCCTGGTGGGCCGACGACCTTCTGGCCTTCTCCTTAGGTAGGGAGACAGGGGTGCAGGGTGGGGCAACACGGGGGGCCTGTGTGAGCCTGTGCATACAGCACAGGCAGGCAGGCCCCCGCTGGAAAACGATGCAGGCACCACACCTGGTGGTTAAGGGGGTTTGGGGCAACCAAGCTTGGTGCTGGGTATTAGGCTGGCCACATCATATGCTCCAACTTGCACCCTGTCCACGGACGGCAGAACCGTGCTTGCCAGGGAATCAGCGGGCTAGGTGCCCGTGTGGGCTGCCCTGGTAAAGCAGGGCTCAGGAGCCCTGGGTCTGTGCCCCCTGAGCTGGGGCTGCAGGCCCAAATCAAAGGCAGAGGCCGAAGGCGCCCAGCATGGAGCCGAACTGAGGTGGGGAGAAAGAGACCACGGGCCTAGGGACGAAGCGCTCTGCATTTGCGTCTGCCCCTGGCCCACCCAAGACCACTGGGTCTCTGTAATAGACATACACTTCCCCACGGGTCGCTGCTTCTCTGACGGACACAGCAATGGGCCTGGCACGCAGTAAATGCCCAAAGGACGTCGATGAGTGTTGGACGACTGACGGAGGAGCCTTGGGTGCAACCACCCTGCCTCTGCCCCTGGAACCACGTTGCCCGCCCGCCGGGCTCTGCCGTGGGGAGCGGGAAAAGGAAGGGTAAGAAAGTCTGCGCGGCCGGCCCCGCGCAGCATCCCTGATCTAGGGTCCTATGGGGTGGGTTGGGAGGGGGAATACCTGATTCTCAGTAACTCTAGAGGCTGCGGCAGCTTCGCATGCAGTGCGCATTATTGCTCTATAGTCGGCATTGGACTAACTAAGAGGAAAAGGGAGCGGGCAGCCCCGGGAAGGGTTGGGAAGAGGAATGGGGCTGCATGCAGTGACGTCACAAAGGCGGCGGCCAATGGGGCGGGCCCTTGGGCGGGGTCGCCGCCGAGGCTTTGGCATAGACGGGCAAAAGTTGGCAACCTAGTAGGGCGGGGCCTGGACCTCGGGGGCGGGGCCAGCCTCAGGGAGGCGGGGTCCGAGGCTCCCAGGAGGCAGAACCCAGCTAGGGCGGGGCTCCGAAGGGGAGGAAGTGATCCTGGACATTCCAGGCCCCCGGCGTCGGCGGGAAGGAAGGGTTCGGCGCCCCCTCCCTGACCCGAGTGCAATCCGTTCATAAATAAAACGTACAAATACAGAAAGAAAGAAACCCGACGCGTCCGCACCCCCCCCAGGGGGCTTTACCCGCAAAGCGAATACAGAGGTGTGTAGAGGGCAGAGCACGCCTGCCCGCCTGCCCGGGTATCCGTCCTCCAACACTGAAAGCTCGGGATACAAGGGAGGGGGCCCCGGGGCAGGGCAGGAGCGGGATCTGAGTAGGTCGGATAAGTCCATGCGATTCGATATGCGTCGTTATTATTCGTTATGGAGGACAACCCGGGAAGCTGGGCTGGAAGAATTCAGATTTGGCAGAGGAGGCGAGGAGAGGGTAGGAGGGCGGCTCAGACTGAAGCCCCAGAAAGAACTCGAGGGAGAAGGTGCCGCCGTCCGCCCCTTTCCCCGGTTCCCAACGCGTTGAACACAGCCGGGAGATCTGCAAAGCCGATGGGGTAGGACGCCTCTGTAGCCGTTCCCTCTCTGGCTCCTCCCCGACCTGCTGCCGGAGAGGTACTGACCCCCTGAAAGTGTAGGCCTAAGGCCCGGCCTGGAAGGCTCGGAAAGGGGTAGGTAGGGAAGACCTGAGTCTCTGCAGCGCGATCCAGGAGCGCAAAGGAGAGAGGTGGACGTTCCCTACCTCACCCCACCCCCATCTTCAGAGACCCAACTGAGAGATGAGGTTCGGTTCTGGGTCTGGCCGACCCTATTGCTGGGAGAAAGCCTGGGGCACCCTGGAGGAGAGGGGAGGGAGTTCGGGGTGGGTCCCCCTGGGGACCCTATTGCTTGAAGGGGCTGGCAAGGCCCCTGGCGAGCGGAGCAGGGTGAGGCAGGCTCCCTCTCCCTATTGCTGTGAGGAGGGGCCCGCCCTCCGGCCCCTCCGCCCGGATTCCG